CCTGTCTGTGTTGAAAGACCATTGAGCTAAATTGGCTTGAAATTTAACGACATGCAGAGTTCTACTGACTGAATTTGTGCGGTGAGTCGTCAACTTGTCTACTTGTTTGTGTACTCCTCGTGGCATACCTTTGGGAATGGAGATTTAATCTATTGCCGGCGATGCAGGGGGACAGGCGCCACTGTTTTGCGACACCTCTCTGTGGCTGTGGGCTCACTTTTACATGCAAATCTGTCTGACTTGTCTGCTTCTCTCTCCCCACGGTTGCTAGGCAAGCTGTGGACTCCACCCCCCCCAAAAAAAAACCAACAAAAAACCAAGGCTATAAAATACTGCAGTAGCATGTATGTTGTATGTATTGAGATAGGAGACAAACATTTTTTTGAGCAGCCGAGGTGGTGAAGTGGGGAAATGAAAAGCCTTCCAAAGCTGCTCAAAAAACGTTCAGTATAAGCGCATGTGTGCGTTGAGATAGTGGACAAATAGTTTGAGAGCGGCGCCGGTCGCTATCAGCGGGCGTGTGTGCTTTAATTTCACAGTCCCCACTGTCATTTTTGCGCCTCATCCATCAATGTGTACGTGTGTGCGTGTGTGTGTTTGTGTTTTTGAAGAGTTTGTTGACGTTCTTAAAATACTTGCTGCAGCATTATCAGGGGGAGTGTTGGTTGGTGCATTTGGTTAAGTTATGAAAAGGAGATACAGACACACCCCATGTTGTAGGTGGTTGGTGGGTGCTCTAATGTGGTTAGGTCCTTCTCTCCTATCAAACATCTGTTGTCTTTATTTTTCCTCCTTCTTTTTTGTGTTTGTTACTCTTTTGTAACACCTCTAACCTTTGGCACTTATATGACCGCATTGTGTTACAAGTGCCGTAAAACTCTGACTAACGTGCGCTCATATGACCTTATGCAGTCGCTGCGAGCGCTGTAAAACTCTTACCACACTGAACTGAAACTTTTTATTTATTGAAACTTTTTAAAACTATGTTTGACAGTGGAAATAATAAATGTCCCCTTTTGTGTGTTTTCCCAGGGACGTGTTTCTGCGCACCATTCAGCCCCAGAGGAAGTACGTGGTGATCATGATGGACCACGGCAACTCCCTCAGCCCCACACAGCTCAAGACGGCCAAGGCCATCACCAAACACCTCATCGCCTCCTTCTCCGACAACGACAGGGTGAGTCAGTCGGGGGACTTGGGAACACAGTCAAGCATGACGATTTCGTGAAATGCATTAAATTCTGGCTTTTTTGGATATTTTTTTTTTGGTAGCTTGAAATGAAGACGCAGTCGTGACTGCATTTGGATTTTTACAATTTTTTTTGTTTGGTAGCTTAGAATAGAGACAGTGACAACTGCAATTGGATTTTTTACTTTTCATTCTTTCTTTCTTTCTTTCTTTCTTTCTTTCTTTCTTTCTTTCTTTCTTTCTTTTTTTTTGGTAACTGAACCAATAAAGACAGTCATGACAATATTTGTGGGGGGTTTTTGTGAACATTTTCCTAACTAGAGATAAAGACACTGTGGAATTTTTCTAACTTGAAATAAAGACACAGTGAGGATTACTTTTCTTAGACTTCATTTCCATCTATCTTTTTTCCTTTTCCTTAATAAAGCAGTGACAGTTGGGATATGGGATATGCTTCTTTTTATCTTAGTCACATGTACAAGCGTTTATTTTTGTTGTTGAAAAGTACTTGAGGATGTATCAAATGTGTGTTGGTTTATTGATGGAAAAGTATGGACATGAAATTTTTAAAAAATTGGTCGACAAAGGCTTGCGTTATAAGGATGGTTTTAATTATGGGACGTGAAATGTGTGGTTATTGATTACTGAATATGAGTTCGGCCACTCCCCAAGACACAAAGTAGGTGGCTGGCGGGTGCTCTGGTGTGTTTTACTTATTCTTTCCTATCAAACATCTATCATCTTTATTCCCCCTCCTTCTTTTTTTTGTGTTTGTTACTCTCTAGTAACACCCCCTAATCTTCGGCACTTATATGACCTTATTGTGTTGCAAGTGCCGTAAAATGCTTTCTAAAACAAAGACCAGACACAAACCGTTCCTCAAGAGACTGACCATTACCCTCCTCCACATTTTCTCATCGTGTCCCAGATTGGTGTGATTGCTCTGTCGAACAAGCCGCAGTACCCGCGGTCAGACCCGTGTCTTCCCCACACCATGGTTCCCGCCACGTTTGAGACGAGGTTCTACTTCAGCAAGTTCATCGATCAGCTGGAGAAGGTGGATGGTAAGTTTGGAATTCCAGTTGTTTTTTTTAATGTAATAAAAGTAGTTAAATATCCTGTGTATCGCAGAATAATTATTTTGTGGTTGGGTGGTTTTTTTTGGTGTTTTTTTTTGGTGTTGTTGTTGTTGTTGTAAGGTTGGGGGTTACATTGTCATTATATTGAGCCCATGGGGGAAATCGTCCAGATGATACAGAATACCAAAGACTTTTTCTTAGATGTGGTTACTTCCTTTCTTAGTCAAAGTCTTGTGTAATCTACTGTCTTTACATATGGTCGCTTTTAAGCACAAGGGGGCTATCCCGAAAAAATGCTGTTTTTAGAAAATTGAAGATAAAGTTTTTGCCCATTGTTCAGTTTCTTTAAAAGACAAGGAGATTTTTTTCTTTAACCAAACAAATATACTCACCAATGAAACCAAACTTCTCCTATAGGTAGGGCAATGCCCATTTTCGGTGTAGGTCAAGATTTCTGGAAACCCCCGAAGTCTGGCTTAGGCCGTTTGTCTTTAAAAGCGACCATATACGAGAGATGTGGATGTCCCTGTGGAGGTGTATTATAGCCAAGTCGTTGACTTGTTTCTCCTCAGTGTGGGTGGTTGGCGAGTGCTCTGGTGTGCAGTTGCGAGCGCAGTAAAACCCCTACAAAAAAAAAAAACAACAAACATCTATTGTCCTGATCTCTCCTCCTTTTTTATGTTTGTTACTCTCTTGTAACACCTCTAATCTTCGGCACTTATATGACCTTATTGTTTTGAACGTGCTGTAAAACTCTTAATAAAACTATAAAAACTTTCTCCTCAGTGTCTACCAACCACTCCCTGGGCTTCCTCACAGCTTTTGAGATGATTGAGGACCTGATGGAAACCGATTCCATTACTGGTAGGTTGTGTTTCCAGCTTCCATTTTATTGTTAACCCTATCCATACGTCATGTTTTACTATCGTATCCGTATGAC